TCTTTATAACCAGCTAGTTCTTTAAAAATATGGAGAGCTATGGAATATATAAGATTTACCCAAACCTAAGAAGCATTTGAGTTCCCTTGATCATTACCAAGCTTCAGTCTCATGAGAATAAAAATAATTAAATATTGCATTGTTGTTCTTGTTCTTGTCATTATTATTTTGACCAGCAGGAAGTTCTTTGATTTTTGAAACAAGATGCTTCCTAGACCTTAACCCTTAGAATAACTCAAGAAAGCATCTACCAGGCTATGAAATTTATCATTAAAAATATTTAAGGAGTTTATTATACATAGCTATCTTGCATGAGTTAATGAGATATAGTCTTGATCTTTCCTCAGAAATGAAACATCACTAGAATAGAGGCATGTGTACAATGAAGAAGTTTAATTCAAGGTTGTATCTTGCCCAGCCACCTGTGTGTTTGACCTACTTGGCTTCTTTTGTTTAAATTAAGTCAGACTTAGTAGCAAAGAGTCCACAATTATCGCAGGTGGTGAGAACTGAGAATGGCGAAAGAAGTACACATGGGCAAAAAGTTATTTCTCCTCCCTTCCCTTTCCCTTTTGAGATTTTAAGCCAAAGTTTTCTGATCCTTATCTACAGCTTGCAGAACCCTTTGAATGAGGTCATCCAGGAAATGTAATCAATCCTGTATCATTGTCACTACATCCTAGACGTTTGTATTGTAGAACATTGCCTGCTTCTATGACCTAATTTACAACACCATCAACACATCTGTTTTAAAAGTTACTGCATACAGCATACATACCATTAATGCTCTTTCCCACACTAATATTCCAAACCATCAACCTTTTGCCTCAAGAAGGTGAATGTGAAAATTAATAGAACAATGCATTGTAGCTATTGGTTTGCATATTCAGTACTCACTTAAGAAAGAAATGTAGCCCATATATTTTGCATGTGGAGGTCTCCAGTTTGATCCTCATATAGCATTTCAATTCAAACATTTCAGATAGGTAGTAGGTGATGGTAGCAGGTGACTTAGAATAGGAACCCTAAGCTCAACACCTGCCCATGTTTGCATGGCATGTTGAAGGACTTCCTCCAAAAATAGCTGGTGCAGATCCCATTTAGGAAAGAGATGACATGGGTGCCTTAAGTTTTAAGACCCCCAATTTGCTCTTGATGCCCCCAGCGCAAAAAAGGATCCAAATTTTTGGATGGGTTTGGAGACAAGAAAAGGAATGCTGATTTTTTTTTTACAGCCTCCAACGACCCCAATATTGTGGAAATACAAGAAAAACTAGTGAAAAAAATAAAAGTAGGGGGAAACCCCAAGAAGAAAAAACAAGGTTGAAATCCTGGCATTACCCTCTGCAGTGACATTATTGCATCACTGCCCTGCCTTCAACCCACCCAAAAGTCAATCATCCCTGCTCTAGAAGCCTCTGGAAAGCTTCGCAAAGCTGTCTCAAATGTTTCCAAACTTTTTTATGTCTGCACAGACAACACTTCCATAGGAACTGCCAGAGAAGCAAACCAGAAATGCTCACAGCCAGGGGCAACTTTTAAAATAGCCACACAAGTTTTCTAGAGCAGTGTTTCTCAACCTTGGCAACTTTAACACGTGTGGACTCCCCACACTGGCTCAGAAAGTCTGGGAGTTGAAGTCCACATATCTTAAATTTACTTTGGTTGAGAAACATGGTTCTAGAGGATGTGGCTGCTTTCACACTTTGAGGAGTGGTTCTTGCTCTCATTAGCCTGCTTTGCAAAACACCTATTTCAAAAGTTTTGGACAGCCTACTCCTTTTGCTTAAAAATAAGCTGAAAATGGATTTAAAAGATCTAAATGGTCATAGGAAAGTAATAAAACACTGAGAAAAAATGTTCATTTATATTTTATTGGAACTGTTTTGATTTAGGGCTTAGGCAATTACACAGTTAAGTGACTTAGAATATAATGTGTTTGCTTTAAAATCTGGTAAATTAGCCTGCTTTATTTAGGGTCTTTCTTGCACATTCTGTATGGTGTGATCTTGGACTTTACTACTGTGTTTAAGAGATCCTATTTTTTTTCCTATTGAACACCTGCCATATCTTACACCAAGAGCTATGCAATGCAAAACCATACCTGGATTCAGCAACCAATTTTTCTTACTGTATATGTGAAAGGCATGTGCGTGATGAAGTCCTGTATCATCTGTTTAGTTGTCACAGAGGCCTGCATAATCCAGTCTTCTTTGCATTAGAATTTTAGTTTTATGTTACTGAATGAAAGTAATCATTCAAGAGCTTCAAGGGGCTAGGGCTTTGTTGGGCTGAATACACACTGCTTACCCATAATGGAAACACAAGAGTCTTGATGGTTACTTCTTAACTTCAGCAACTGCTAACTCTGGTGAAGAATAACACTGCAACCTGGTGATGGAAATGCCCGGAGGCCTCAAGTGGGCTTTCTCCCAAGTGTGTTTGACATTGAAGACTATTTGCATCCTATTCTAGAGGATTGCCTTAAGTGAATTAAAATCAAACATGGAATACAAAAGTCAGGCTAACAGCCTTCCTTTGTGAAGTCCTTCTTGTAACATTTTAATTTACAGTACTGTACCAGCAACTGAAAAGCATCTAATCAAGTAACTACAGTTGTGCACAATATTCAGCAGAATATTGTATATTTGAGACATCCATGTGAAATCACATGCCAAGCAGAGATTGGTGAAAAGCTGTTTCAGATTTTCTACCAATAATGCCACATTAGTTAGTATTTCCAAAGTCCTTTTGCATCAGTCATTATGCCAAGTTTTAACTGTAAGTGCTAGATGTTATCTGATTCCATTATCACTAACAATGGATTCTGTATACAATCACTCTCTAAGGACTAATTTTTAATTCATGGCTGAAGAACATCTTAGCCTAATTTATGGGATTTCTTGTTTTTAGAAAAAGTTTTACTTCTTTTTAATAGTATTTCCTTGATTCAACAGCAAGTGAAAAGAGAAAAGGAGTAAAAGGAAAACAAAGAAATAATTTCAAAGTAATTCCAAATAATATTATAACGATATTGTAAGAGTGTTGGATTTCAAAGCACATGCAAAGTTTCTTGAAGAGTGGATGAGGTGGGAAAAAGCACCTTTGGCTTCCTGAATAAATGATGTCAGGAAGACCCAAAGTGAAAGTAACATGAAATATCAAGTGGGAATAAGTGAAAACAAGACTTTTAGCATAAACTCTTGTCCCACTCTCTGTTTCTAGTATCCGACATTTGTGGTATCAGAAATCAGAAAATGATTTAGAAGCTAAACTTCCATTTGTATTTTTTTTACATTTACATGACAAAATATCTGATCAATTTCCACTGACTGGACTATTCTTAACCTATTCAGGTTTTCCAGCAGGTGCTAAAACTTAGATGTTATAGGTGAATAATGTTCAGTTACAGCAGTATATATGGTTTTGTCTTCTGTCTTTTCAGAAATAAGCTCCCCAAATTCAGAGAGCGTTACTCCCAATTAAATAAATACAGGATCATACTCTTAAGTTCTTAGTTCTGCACTACAATAGAGATTCAGTATCCAATATTTTTCTGGATTGTGGTGTATGTAAAACTGAATATATAACTTGGAAGGATTTTAATTACCTGCACAAACAAGTAGGGAAAAATAAATACAAGAAAGAAGCAAAATCAAAATGCAAGTTGAATACAGAACTATAATGAACAGCATCAAATTGGGCTGCATGGTGAGAAAACCAGTATTTGGATGGAGTTTCTGAGGTTTTGTATTATTAAGTGTATTTACTGTTTAGAAAGGATTCTCTTTCACGTGCTTGAGTTCTCTGAAGTTCCCAGGGAATCCAAAGAGTCTACATCAAGAATCTACATCAGTGCCTTCCCTGAAAGCAGATTCATGCAAAGATTGCCTGCCAATTCTGTAACTGGACAGAACGCTTAGGAAAATTACAGATCAGTTAAAAAAGAATGGGATTCTATAATATGGAAACCAGGACCTTCTTAATAATTAAACAGTGTCTCAGTGTGTTTTGCAACTACACTCACTGAGTTCACACAACACACTATGTCATATGATGTTTTCTTTGGCTTCAGCATACGAATTCAACTACTGTATCCTTTTTGCAAAATGCAATTTACAGGGTAACATTATAGCTGTGCTGGCCTAATATATGCTGTTCAGTCATTCAATAGCTTTTGACTCTTTGTGAACCAATTATAGTCCTTGGAAAAAGGTCTTTTGCAGAATATTAGTGACTTTTGCAAGGTTGCTACAGTTGCTTTGAAAGCTGTTTCTGGCTTTTTCTGCAAGTGTTATTAATCTTTGCTTCGCTGGCTGTATAAGTGTATATACACACACTGATGAGCAGAAACAGCTTCTGAAGCAATCAAGAGTTCCTTGAAAAAGATGGGCATGCTTTAACAGTTTGCAGAAGTACTTTATTTGCACTAATGCACCTTTAAATGTGCTTGCACAGGCCTAATGCTTATCCATGGTTCAGGTAGCTCAATCTGGTTTTGTAGACTTACCCATCACACCTCTACCCCAAGCTAAACTATTTTTAGATTTGTGGTGTATTTAATGCTCCCATTTTCCCCAGCACTCCAGCCTAAAACGTGGTTGATTCCTTTACAAACACCTGCGTGATATCCAGAGCCAATATAATACTACAGCTAATTGTGGGTTATTCAATAAACCATAATTAAATAATCACTTAGAAGAGTTTGTGAACCCACTCGTTGTAACTTTTATCCACTTACTGCTGTGGTTTTATTGACTGTTGATGCTATTTGCAATCCGCCTGGGAAAGACCCGCATTCTGAAACGCGGATAAAAGAAGAGTAGCGCGCCAGCCACAACGTACTACTGCACGTTCAGTGCACGACTGCTCCTTCGCGAGCCCCTTCCTTTGACTTTTGTTTGTTCCCGTCATAGCAGTTGAGGAAAAACAGCGTCAATAGGGGAGGGGCCACGAGGGTAGGGAAAGGTGGAGGCCGCACGAGAGATTAGGTTCCTGGCGCATTTTTTTGCACCTGAGTGGTAAACGCCTTATCCTGAGCATTTTGGTCAGGGAATTGTCCTTCCCGCGCTACTTGATTTACGTGCCCAGTGGGGAGTACTGTATGTGCGGGTTTCTTTCTCTTTTCCTTCCCAATTCCCTGTGAGGAGGAGGAAGAAGAGGAGGACGCCGCCGCCACTGCTGCGATTGCTGCCAAGTCGTTTGCCTGAAAGGCGCGTTTTGCATGACAAGAGAAAGGTGTGCGCTGTGCGTGCACAGGAGCAAGCGCTGAAGCAAGGAAGACGCCGCAGGCGAACGGGGGAGGGGGCTTCTCCGGAATGTAGCATGCATGGCTGGGGGCTCCGTCAAGATGCAACCTGCGTGTGACAGGGCCGACTCGCTGCTCCATAGCCGTAACGCAGCCGACGCCAGAGGCCAGGAGCAGCAAGTTCAGCTGCGGCAAAAGCTGAAGGAACTGCCGACGCTGCTCAGGAGTGGACTCACGCTGCGGAGAAAGCGCTCAGACGCCGGGGGCCGGGTGAGTGAACGGCGCCCTGGGCCGCGTGCTCCCAGGAATTTGCCCGTCCCTGGTAGTTCAACTTGGCCTCTGCAAGCCAGTGGGTGACTTGGTACCCAAGGAAGAACCCTCGTGGGGTTGGGTTTTTTTGCTGTGAGGCATTTTGCACTTTGCCTGTATTTTAAGTTAAAAAAAAAAATCCCCAACACGTAACTGATACCCTGTTATTCATGCATAACTACTACGGAGATAAAATAATGGGCGTCAGGAATGGGCAGTAATGGCATAGGAGAATCGTATTCTCTTCAGCTCTAGCCTTTAATCTGCCTGTGCCATAAGGGAAGTCTGGCTTTAATCCGTGTGAGATTTGCAGAGAGCATGTAATCTGCGGTTTGGGGGCATGGGGCTACTGACCTGAGCTCGCTGAAATTGTACATCCGCGGTTGCGATTGGAATGGAGGCCATGTTGCACGAAAAGGAGATGTGAGGAGATAATGCAGTTCTTTGGGAACAGTTTACTCGAGAGCAACTAGATTTGCAGCGGTGTTATGCACCACCGAGTTCAGTGAAATTTTATCCTAAGTAAACATAGATAGTATCAAACAGTATAACGATCTTTTAAAACAATGGCCTTGGATATTATTTTGGCTGGGACAATCTGTTGAAGTAGCCTTGGACTTTAATCAATTTATTGAGGTACGAGTTTTTGCTGGCTATATAGTTTTGCATTACTAGTCAATTCCTTGATTCAGTGGAATATTGGCTGTAAGGACCTGTATTAAAGTAAGCCACTTAATTTGTGAGGTACTGTGACACCATTCAATATATATTGATGTCTTTCACTATTTACCACTTGACCCTATATATAATTCCTAAGTAATTGAAATTGGTAGTCTTCCTAATCAGACACAAGCCTCAGATATAAGCTATTAAGGAATACACATTAAATATGAGTTGGCTAGCTTGAATAAGCTTTTATGCAAATACTCTATGAACAGAATGTGAATGGGTGAATCGGATGTGGACAACATTCTCCTGTGCCTAGAATTAGAAATTGCAATTGGATGGGTAAGTCAGTATCAGTAGTACAGAGAATAGCTGAGACTGCTTATTACTAGTTCTGTGTTTTGCTCCATAATTTGTGTGTAATTTCTCTTCTGTAGAAATGATCAATTCCCCAGGGCTGCAATAAGATTGACTGACATGCAAATTTTGGGTTATAATCTAATATTTGCTCACCTAAGAGTAAATCTCATTGAATTTAGGCAAGCTTATTGCTGAGTAGACATTATAGAAGAACACTGTTGATTAAGCAACATTAATTGAATGTGCAGGCAGTAACATAATTTTCAAATAAGAAGCATATTTTATTTCTAGACCTGAGGTAGTCTTTCAGATGTTGATGGACAAAAATGAGTATCATCTCTCACTGGCTAGAGATGCAAAGAGTTGAAGGTCAATGAAATCTCTAGGGCCACATCTTGCCTTTCCCTGTTCTAGATGAAGCAAGTACATGTTACAGTGTGCATTACCTTAGAAGATTCGGTCCTAAGATAAAAGGATGCTTCCTGTCTGCATTTCTAATTAAACTAAGAATTTAAAAAGTTGCCCATTTAGATTGAGGAATCCTTTATTTTAATACTGTTTTTAAAAAGTCCAATCTTTTTTTGTTATCCATGAACATGCTGCATTGTGTTTACAATAGCCAGAGGGCTTTTTTTTTTTTAAAGAAAACTGAATGAATAATTGCCTAATCCAGATTGGGAGTGAAAGTAGGTATCATGTGTTAATTTAATGGGCGAGATAAATGTAATTTTTAGGAAAGAAATGTTGATTATTATATGCCATCCAGTCGGTATCAACTCTTAGCGACCACACAGACCTTCTCTGGGTTGATCTGTCCCCAGCTTGGCCCTTCAGGTGTGCAGTAATTGAGTCCTCCTTGCTGCAGGTGTCTTCTCTTTTCTTCTACCTTTTCCACCATTATACATTTCTTGACAGCTAGGTCTTCGTATAATGGATCCCAAACATGATAATTTGAGCCTGGTCATTTGTGAGAAATCTGGATTGATTTGTTACATGGTTTGTTTGTCTTCTCAGCTGTTCATGGAATTCTCAGGAATCTTCTCCAACACCAAAGTTCAAAAGTATCAATGCTCTTTCTATCCTGCTTCTTCAAAGTCCAGTTTTCACTTCCATAGAGTGTCACAGGGAATACCATTGCCTGCATGATTCTGATTTTTGTAGGTATAGACACATCCTGGCATCTGAATATCTTTCCAAAGCCTTCATAGCTATTCTGCCAAGTGCTGGTCTGCAGTGTATTTCTTGACCACAGGTTTGTTTACAGTTAATAGTTGATCCTAAAAGGCAGAAGCAATCCACCACTTCAGTGTTTTCATTGACAATTCTAAGGCTTATTGCTGCATCTGTTGGCGTTTTGGTCTTTATATTTAATCTTAGTCCCATTTTTCACTGGATTTCTTAACTAACTTTATTAGAGCTTCCAGGTCATTTACATTTTTAACTGTCAGAGAAGTGTTATCAGTACAGTGCAGATTATTGGTGTTTCTTCCAATTTTAAAACTGCAGTCACCTTCTTCCAATCCAGCCTATCTCAATATGTACTTAAATTAAATAAATATGCTTTCTTTAATCCATGTGTGAAGTTGTTAAAAGTTTTGTAGGACTAATTCTAGCTTTAACTGTGCATCTGTCCTCTGACACTAGAAACCTATCAGTAAGGGAAGGCAAATATTAAATTCTGTATGGGGATGGGTTGTACATGGCATTGAAATAGCACATTTATTCTTCATTAGATGAGTCTCTTTAAATATTATGTGTGTGCCCAGAGTTGTATACAAATACTAATTACTTATGAAAATTATACTTGTGTGCCATTGTAAAGTTCTGAGATGAGGTTGCTTGCAGATAATATATTTGTCACATCCTGGTTAAGAGTGCTGTTTGTTACTCTACAAGGTATAAAATATAATTACTATTGCCACATCACATTTTGCAGAATGGGATTCCAAAACAGTGGGAAGATAAATAAGAAGGGAGCTGAGAGACTACTGAAAATATAGCAAAATATGTTACCTCCAGTCATGGATTTAAGAAATCTGTTATAACTTTTAAATCATTTTATTTATTTATTAAATTTATAATAGCCACCAAACTCCAATGGACTCTGGGTGGTGTACAAAACAAAACAAAATCCATGAAAACAGATAAAACCTAAAATCTCAGACAACCTAGACTAAAACGATATAAAAACAACATAAAATAAACAGCCCCGCCCAAAACAACAAAGCAACCCCAGCCAGGGACCAAAGCCAGGTTTTAAGAGCTTTTTGAAACCCTAGGAGAGAGGGTGCTGCCCTTACTTCTGGGGGGATGCTGTTCCAGAGAATGGGGCTGTGAAGAGGAGGCATAGTTCCTCGATCCTGCAAGATGACAACATTTAATAGAGGGGCCCTGGAGCACACCCACTCTGCTGGAACGTACTGAATGGGCAGAAACAATTAGAGATTAGTCCCTCAGATATCCAGGCCCTATGCCATACAGTGGGGACAGATCATTATGGAGAAAATCTATGTGTTCACTAGGAATGGAAAACGACTTGGTGACACATAATCGATGAATCAGTCAACATCTTGCAGGGTTTCCTTAGGTAGTCCTCAGTCAATGACAGTAATGGGGACTGGAATTTCTATCGGTAAGTGATAAAGTCATAAAGCATGATGTCACATGACTGCATTGCTTAGTGATAGCAATCCTGGCACTTGCCACTGCCGTCATTAAGTGAGGATTGCAGGTCATTAAGCAAGGACCTTATCACAACTTCCTGCTGGCTTCCGACAAGCAAAGTCAGTGGGGAAGCCATCAGGAAGTTGCAAGTCCCAGGTGGCTTGCAAGCAGGCTGGCAGGCAGGTAAGTGGCTGCTGCTGGGTGCATGAGGGGCCAGTGTGGTGCAAGCGCGGCAGGGCTTGGGCTGTGGGAGGGTATGTGAGGGGCCGGCACGAGCGCAGCAGGACTGGGGGTGGCTGCTGCAGGGTGGGGGAGACTTACCCAAGTGACTTACAATCTTCCCTGCCAGCTTTCCCATTGACTTTGCTTGTGGGAAGCTGGCAGGGAAAGTCACAAATAGTGATCATGTGACTGTGAGGTGCTGCAACCATCATAAGTGTGAGCTGGTTGCCAAGCACCCAGATTGTGATCATGTGACTGCGGGGGTGTTGGGATGTCCAGAGCTTTGAGGACCGGTCATAAGTACCACTCGTTCAGCACTGTTGTAACTCGACTGTTCACTGAATGAATAGTCATTAACCAAGGACTACCTGTAGTTAATAAGCAGCACCTTAATTGCACTCAGAAGCTGACTGGCAACCAATGCAGCTTGTGTAGTAGTGGTGATACCTGGGCATGCCAGCCAGCACCCATTACTCTTTGCGCTGCTGCATTCTGAACCAGCTGTAGATTCCAGGTGATCTTCAAGGGCAGCCCCATGTAGAGCGTATTGCAGTAATCTAGTCATGAAGCAATCAGGGTATGAATAACTGTCTGAAAAGCCTCCAAATTGAGCAAAGGGTGATCCAGGTGAACCTGTACAAAGGCCCTCCTGCCACAGCTGCACCTCCTCGTCAGGCAATAGCTGCAAGTCCAGAAGGACTCCCAAGTTGTACAACAGTCTTGAATGGGCGAAGTGCAGCCTGATCCAAGACCAATAATGGTAACATCCCTGACCCCAGGAGATCAGGCAGTCATGTTAGGATTCAACCAAAGTCTGTTCCGCCCCATCCAAATTATCAAGTAGACTAACTGGAGGTGATGCAAATTCATTGCAAAGCTGAGAACTTGATATGCGTAGGACATAGTGTGATTAGTGTCTACAAGAGTGGGGATTACAATGTTACAACTATTGTAACATACTCAGTATGCTTAGTACATAAACAGATCAGCTGGGAATGTTTTGAAGACATGAGTGACCAGGATTTTCTCACTGTAAAGTACCATAAGAT